ATCGATCGTTGTTCGCAAAATGTGAAAAGGATTGATCTATCCAAGAAAAATGGTCAAGATATCTCATATTCATCTACTCCAACAGCAAGCGAGCGGCCGACCTTTCCTTCGCAAGCGGCCAGCATTAGAGGCCGTGCGGGCGCCCCTAACCGTGCCAACGGCCCTCGACGACCTACAATCGCACACACCGACGAGCGATTGTAAGGCCGTCGCTGGCCGCCCGCACGGCGCGAGTCCCTGAGTAGATAAGATTGCGAATATCCAAACATCAACTTAGAAAACTGATGCAAACTCGGCCAATGACGGGTTCGATTCAAAAACGATATTCTGTCAAACGCAGTACATTTGCAATTAGCAGTCGAGACAACGAAGACACAGGAGTGAAAATTTGATTTTATTGGAAAATCGCAATATTTCTGCATTTCTTTCAATTTTGCTTTGTAAAAACCTCCGGTAATTGATTAGATATGCGCTCATTTTCCGCAAATTAGACAGCCTTTGAGCCCAAGACTGTTTTTAGCTAACATACATAAACAACTATTCTTGGAATTCAGAGATAGAGAAATTTTGTGGCCCATTGTCTTGTACAGACTGCAGGGGGATCTCTAAGGGAAGAAGAGACACAGCAGCCGAATTTTATCGCTTTTGCGTGGACCGGTCCTGGCCCCGGCACATCCCATATCAATTGGTCGCATATCCTGCAAATAACTTTTATGATTCTAAACTTTCCTCACACAAGTGCTCTGCATGGAAATTTTTCAGACTAGTTCCTTACTCAGCATTCGCACTCTGCTGCAAAGCCTTGTTCTGTTTTGAATTAGCGTCATATTCTGCGGATTTGATTTTATAAAAGTTATTCGTAACATTCGATTCAGTTTCTCCTGCTCTTTCAGAAGTCTGATTGTAGTTTAATCGATTAGCTGTCACAAAATTGCCAAAAACCAAGGCTATCCAAGGTTTGCTAAAATTTTGTACTGATTCCCCGAGAAGTTGGAGTAACGGGACAGGAGTAACGGGACAACCTCATAATACAATTTTCCCCTCTTTAAAATATTTTTCGAATAATTCTTCGATGCTATCTGTGCCAATATTGTCGGCACCCCGTCTCATCCATATCGCTTCTCGCATGTTATTCGCATAAGCACCGTTAAGGTCACCTTTGGTGACCTAATATGATATAAGCGTGCAACCACTGCACCACCGTGTGTGGCGGTTGGGCTCCTTTTCAATAAATTTAATTATTACCTTTTGTTGCGTTACATATTTTTCGTGTCAAAGGCGCCACCCTTACGTCTAAAGTCACCACATTTTCTGGTGCATCGGCCCACGTGAGCCCGATTAAGGCCCGTATGCACGTACATTCCCGCGGGGAGGGGATGTGAGTTTAACCATTGCAATGATCCCCGCTGGGGCTCTCCTCCCTTCCCCACGCGAATCCCCGTATGCAGAAAGGCAAAACCAGAGAGGGGATCCCCTGGGAGTAGTGGAGGGGAGCCCCCTTATGCAGAAGGGGAGATCGAGCGGGGAATTCATTTTGCTTCCCCTTTTTTGCAGTAATTATTCCTTTTTTCTTATCTTTTGATAGCTACTCGCCCCCAATGTGTCTCGGCAATATTTAGTCGTTGCGGAATGCCGTCTGCCGTGATTGCGATCGGCACACTAAAGAACATCCATTTTATTCCAGCTGTTTTCATGGATTCTGCTCCTTTTCGCCCATGCTGCCCATTTTAGCTCAAAGGTGTTTAATGATAGAAGTCAAGGTGTATTGTATATGCAGTGAAGATAGAAGACGCTATGCTGCCGAAAAAAGGGTGGGGGGGGGTGCCGCGCACATTTAAACAGCATTTCTACACATAATTGAAGCTACAAATCGTGCCAACTCTCCATAAACGCTGTAGCTATCAGCTGCATATCGTCCTTTACCCCAGGGGAATGATGCCCGGCGGCCATCCCTGCTATGCACGAGGGGAGCGATGGGGAGGGGATCATTCCCCCGAGGATCTTTACTCAGACGCGAGTCTGCTAATTTTCATTTTATTCAAAGCAGTTTTACGTTAGGATAACAAGATAAGAACAATTTATCATTTAATGTGATAGTTACAATATGCTGTACCAGCCTTAATGGATAAAACTATCATGTCAGATAAAAAATGCGCAACCCTCGTGAATGGTCACAACCTTCTACAGATATTCGAAACTGGCAGATATATGTCCGGATTTCTTTACAAGAAGCGAGTATGGAAGAGAGAGTTAAAACTGCAAGCTACAGGTCGCTGAGAGAGAAACCCGGCTCCCGTAGAAAATCTTTCCTCAATTTGAACGAAATGCTTTGTTATAATTGATTAAAATCAGAATACTCGCTTCTCTGGCTTGACCTACACCATCGAACCCCTACTCCGTTGTAGGGGATGTCGATCCCCTCCACGAGTTTGAGTCAAATTCGCGCACACGGGGTTCGAGTGGGGGAGGGAAGGGATCCCCTCCCCCATTCAAACCCCGTATGCACTGGGGTTCGCTCGATCAATACCTCTGAAACAATTCACACCATCCCCGCTCAGGTGCAGGGGAAGGGATCGTTCCCCTCCCGTCTGTCATAGCGGAGTTCGGCGGAGAGGATCGTTACCCTGGTGATTCAGCTTCCCTCCCCTCCCCAGCGGGGACGTATGTGCATACGGGCCTAAGTGTTCGATCCTAGAGTCAACACGCAGGTTGGCCTAGTCTATCCTTGGAACCTAGCTTCCTAAATTGCTTGCGTTTAGTCCCTAGCGACAGCGCAAAAGTTTAGCCAAGACTAACCTTGGGTCCATCATAACCCTAAAAAATTTGCGTAGCAAAAAATTAGCATTTACCTGTTAAAGGCCAATCCAGCGCCTACTTTTGCATTCTTAAGCAGCAAAAACAACCATTTTTCAGAGGAAATTATGTGACAGAATAAAGATTCGCTTCATTTCTACAAATTAGCCATCCTAAAGAGCTCAACCGCACTCTCGACTCTACTGCAAAAATATGAGTCGTACGGTGAAAAAATCGTGCACACAGAGGATCATTAGGAACGACTCAACCGCAGTTCCGAAAATATGATCCAACTCAAAAAATGCCTTCCGCTGTTCAGAGAGGGTAGTCCAGAATAGAAAGAATAGAGCAGCAGTACGCGAATGCAAAGTCCAGAACTGAGCAAAAGAAATTGCTACAAGAGATTGAGGACTTTGAAAATGAGTCTAGATGCACCAAAATTTTACAAGATGCGGAAGCTTTTGCACACATTTTCGAGGCAAGTATTGCAGATGCAGAAGTTATTTTGTACCAAACAAATGAGGCTCAAAATCCAAGTCAACCACGATACCGGTGTAGAGTCACAAAGCACTTCGGGTGAATCCAGTGTATCAAATAGGAAGATTGACAGAGTCCCTGAACAAAACTGTCTGTCAGTTAGACCACCGGCTGTGAAACTAGCGCTTTTTAGCGGAAATCAAGAGGAGTTTGCTGAGTTTTGGGCACTCTATGAGTCACTTGTACACAACTGCAGTGGCTTGCCCACGTTCGAAAAAATAATATTGCTGAAGCAGAGCTTGCAAGGTTTAGCCGTAACAGCAATAAAGGGCATAAAACTAGTGCCAGAAAACTATTAGTGGATGGTTACAACACTAAAGAAGCGATTCGAAAACCAGCCCACAAATAGGTCCAAAATAGTGCAGCGGCTATTCGAACCTTTGCAGGCAAAAATGCGGATAGTCACCAGCATTGCGCCGATACTATCAGGACTCTGGTCCACAGGATATGATATCCGCCATACGTGTGACCCAGTGTGGACGGAAACAATTATCAAAAAATTTCCTCACAATATTGTCAAAACGTATTGATCAAAAATCAGGATGTGGATAGCGTGACTATCAAAGAACTCTTGGACATTCTTAACAAGGAATTAGCCGCAAAAGCATATGTAGAGCTCAGGCTTGGTTTCGAAAAGACAAAACTCAAGCCAAGTCGGCAACATAATTTCGCACAAACTGCAAACTGCGCATTTTGTGGTCGTTCGAACCATAACTCGACATTCTGCAGAACAGTTGCAGACCGAATAAGCGCCGGCAGATAGTGCGACAGAACAATTTGTGCTGGAAGTGTATCTTAGCGGACCACACCAGCAACCAATGTAAAAAATCAAGCTGTAATCATTGTGGAAAAACCCGCCATTCCTCGCTGTGCATGGCAGCTGGCAATGGAGCCACTAATCCTGCGGGCACGAATCAACCGCGCACATCGCGGTGGCCAAAAAATGAAGTTGCACACAACAACTTACCAAATCGCAATCATTCTGGTCAAACAGCAGACATGTTTCAACAAGTAATGCTGCAAGGCAAAATTATCCACAGCACAATGGAGGCTAGCGTTTCATTCCAAACACTTACCATGAGAAACCAGCTGGTAGAAAATGGACATATCGCCACTCCTGCGATTCCGGAAAATGGACATATCACCACTCCTGCGATTCCACAAGAGCAGCTCATACTACTCAGACACATTCACTGGCCGGCGACCAGGCGACGAGGCCCTTCCGCCGGCTGCCGCGCCAACTTTAGAGGCGGGGCTAAAGACCGGCCGCTGACCGGCCCAAAATCTTTCCCGGCTGGAGTCCGGACGAGTCTGCGAAAGTGCGGCATATGCACCAAAATGTACCTACCGTTAGAAGCTAATGCTTGATTTAGTCGAATCCGCTATCTTATCTTATCAAAACTGATAATGATGAGATAGCGTTTGCACTCATTCTCAATTTCATTCACGAATTTTAATCATCCAGAACGTTGTGGGTCATCCTTGTGGAACGGAGCCAGGACCGACTGTGGATGGAACTGCACACGTTTGGAAGGAATTCTGTTCATGACCTGTGACCCATCTCACAAGATTCCAAATACCTTTCAACGTGAATCTATGACTAATTGCGCAGCAGCTGCAGGTATTATGCTCCTTTTTCTAAACCACCAGCTACAACCTAGGTTGACATTATGGCTGCAAAAATGGAAAAGATCAGAAGAGAAGTGGAGATACGCGCGTCCGGAGAGCTAGCCGAAAACGTTGTTACGATATTGTTAAGTGACTGTAGAAAAGACTGGAAAATATCTGGGCCTCGCCCCCTTGTCGAGGTAACTTTTGCAGAAGTAAATATTAGGTTGGCTCGAAAGTTCTGGGACATTGCATTCAGACAAAATTTTTGTTTGGATGTAAGCACTGATTGGGGCATATTGCATATCATTAGATAGAGGAAAGCAATCTCTACAGAACTATGGTATGCAGAAGCAAAATCAATGTTTTCTGTGAAAATTCGGGCGAAAATTCCAAAGCATAGGATTTTGACCTAACCCAGATCTCCAGCTTCTGTGAACGTTTTGAAATTCCCACATGTTCCAATTATAGTACAAACATACTTATATGATTACAAGCACTGCTTGTGCGGAATTTGAGCTTAAACAGCAAGAAAAACGAGGTGATTGAAAAGTGGCAAACCGCCCCCATTGGTCCTAGGCTCCTCCCATTTGCTTATATATCAGCTATAGGCGAGGGAGAGTACAACTGCAAATTTTCGAGAAGGTACATGCATTGGCTTTCGAGAAATAGCAAATTTAGTCTGAAAATGTCCCAGAACTTTCGAGCCAACCTAATACAAATCAAACTGCTGCTGACATTACTCTCAGCAATCTCTTCGTCGGGTACAAACTGGGAGGTAAAGAATCAGCGACATTGTTTCAAAGATTTGCAGGGTTATACCGATACATATTCCAAAAGGTCAGGTCATTGTTAGTTCCGCTAACTTTTCGCCTTCGAGTAACTTATTTAGATAACGGCGGATCCCCCATACCGAATTCAAGAGTACCCAGTACGCCTCAACGCAAAGAGTGGAAAAGACAAGAACCTCAAGAATTTGCCACGTTTAATAGAGAATAAGCTATATTCATCACTTTAGAGGGCAGCAAGGAGTGTAATTTGCTAGCGAAACAGTCGCTGCACCATCCTCAAGAGTTCGTAGACAGATTGTTTCGCATGCTGGAAAGTAAGAAAATCGGCAAATACGAAGTGTTCTGAAATCAAAATCCAAATTTTTTTGTATTACTTTTTACTGTTTCGACCACAGGTGCGCCCAGAGTCAAGCGTGGAATGTGGCAGGCCACACCTGGGGGGTCGTATTGAAGAGTCAAAAGGGGAGGGGGTCGTAGTTGGGTATATTCTGCTATTAGTTATGAAATGATATTTGTGAGCAGTTTGTCAGATAATCCCAGGCGAAAAATCACATGAGGTAGACTATCTTAGCATGCCAAAGACGTGCTACGAAGCTTAGTGAGTATCATATCCATAATTAGCATGTTAATCAACCCCTGTAGACAAAGTTTGAGCGAATTCTGAAATTTCGAGATACTTGGCTACCTAAGTTAAAAGGTCATATTCCAACATGGTTAACTTTGTTTCAGAGGTAATTTAGCTATCCTTTTTGCACTCAAGACGAAGCACTACTACTTCTCTGTCCATGCCAGAAATCCCGCTTCAAAAAACCAGACAACCAAAATCTCGTTTTTCCCATTTTTCGTTTTGATGGCTGTGTTTATTAATATTACTCAATATTACTCAGAGCTAAGAAGATGAATCAGGCTTAAATCACTTCTATGGAATTTGCGAGATTTAAGCTATCGATTCATATAGAAACTGTTTGCTTAGAATGTTTTTATGACATAGTTAATGGGGTGTGGCACCCCCTCCCCCTCAAAAAGCTGTGGCGGTCACACCCCGTTAACTATATCAAAAAAACATTTTTAGCGGACAGTCATGACTTATAGCCGCTAAGCGTCTGTCTTTTTGTGCGCGCGTGTGTATGTCTGTCTGTCACGAAATTCATGGAGCGAGTTCTAGCAAATGTCTTGAGCTGAATGTTTGCACAGTGTTCGCTGGCAGCGCCCAGCTCACCGTGCGCAATGGTGAACGGATTTGATGCGCGGGTTCTTTGAAAATGGCGTTTGGAGCGGGTCCACTCGGTATTTGGCATGCAAAACTGGGCCGCTGATTCGACTTTTTGCAGCGTCATGTATTTGTTTGACAAGTAAATTTGGGAGGCATGAATTTTAGTCCAAAAAATGCTCATAAGGTCTGTTCTTCTACGAAAGGAGCGCCGAAAAGGATTGAATGCGTAAATAATCGCTTAGTTAAGGCTTTACCTGATGAATTGAAAAGATTTTTGCACAGAGAGGTAGCTCATGATGTTTACTCTATTTATGGGAACACTGATGTTCAAATAAATGCAGTAACTCATTCAAATTCGCATTTATTCTTCTGCAGAAAGGTTTTTTCTCCCAAAAACACCGATCTTACATGGAAATACTGTGAGAATGAGCAGTTGTTTACGACTGATCCGTGATGTTCAGCATCATCCGGTGAGTTTCAGAGCTTTTTCATTATTTGAGTGAAAAAGTACACGAATACTTATCGGCATAGATACTGCACGATTCATAAATTTCGATTTTCTACGAACGCCCACGCTACATTCCCGATTGAATTGTGATAAATTTTGATTGATGAATGGAGCCGTGACAGCTTGAACTCCTGAGAAACCGCTTTGAATCAAAGTGCGACTTGATAGTCTCAAAGGATAGGAAAGCACGCAAAAATGTCATCATGACTTATAATAAAGCGTTTAGCGTGTCTTTTCGTCCGTGTGTGCATGTCTGTCTGTCACGAATTTCATAAAGGGAGCTGCAACCAAGCTTTCGAGCTACAATTTTGCATAACATATCGCACCAGTATGTAGGTCCACCGTGCACAAGGACGAGCCGGTTTGATAAGCGGGTCCTTCAAAATTTGCTCCCAAAACCGGTTCACGCGGCTTTTGGCAAGCAAAATAGGTCGCTAATTCAACTTTTTGCAAAGCCATGATTTGCTTGCCAAGTAAATCTGCGCCCCATGAGTTCCAGCCCAAAAAGTGCTCAAAAAGTTTGCTTTTCCTCGAAAAAAGCGCAAAAGGTGGTGGGGCAAGGTTTCATCTTAAAATTTGAAAGTTTTACACGGAAGTGTAGCTCAAAGAACTATTATCTTTATGACGACTACCAAGCCAAAACAAATTCAGTAATCCATTCAAATTCGCGGGTGTTCCTTTGCGAAAAAGTCTTTCTTCTCAAAATTACCGATCTTACATGGAGACGCTTCAAGAATGAGCAGTGTTTACGATTCATTTGTGATTTTCAGCATCGCATGGTGAGTTTTATAGTCATCATTGAGCGAGCATGAGAAAGGCACACGGATAGGAGAGCCAGCGCGAACCTCCGCGAAGCGGAGGTGACGCATTGGTATTTACATGAATCGATAGCTCAAATCTCGCAGATTCCATAGGAGTGATTTAAGCCTGATTCATCTTCTTAGCTCTGAGTAATATTCGGTGAAAGCACAGCCACCAAAACCGAAAAATGGGAAAAACCAGATTTTGGTTGTCCGTCTTTTGAAGCGGGATTTCTGCCATGGACAAAGAAGGAGTAGTGCCTTGTCTTGAATGCAAAAAAGCTAGCTACTTCGCCTTTGAAACTAAGTTAATCACACTGGGAAATGGCGATTTCACTTACGTGACCCAGTATCTTGAAACTTTAGAATTCGCTCAATAATTGTCTACAGGGGTTAATTGACCTAATTATGGATATGTTGCCGTTATGTTTGACAGGACCTTCAAGCAAAGCTATCTTAGGTACATAGTTCAGGGGGTTTTATTGACACAGCAATTAGGGGGGGGGGGATCGTAATCAGTGATCGTGTGCCACACCTCTTGATTGACCCTGGGTGCGCCTCTTCCTTCCGCATCGCCCTCTGTGCTCGAGTCATAGGAGTCCGTCGCCTGCATTTACTCAGTTTCTACTCATACCTGCACCGCTACCTGCAGCCGAAGCAGAAAGAGGTATCTCTATCTTATTTGGCTTTCTTGTCTTAACTTTTTTGTTCAGGTGACGCGAATCCTTTTATATGCCGCTCAGCCCTGTCATGAACTGGTCCCTCTCGATACAGTTGAGCAACTTGTTCGGGTTATTGCTGACAATTTTGTTTCGCATAGATAGTAAAGTTTAGTTCTTGTTCTCTTCTCAGCCATAAATTCATTTACAGGATCTCTCGGAAGCTATGAAGGAATCAATGCCATCAGAGAAATTTTCGCGAATTGTCCGTTTGCCGCTACGGAAGAACTTCTTAGAGATCTTGCTGAGGTAATTTTTCCACACGTCTGAAATTTACGCTTTTCTATAGATTTGTTTACAGTACAGAACGTACGAGAATAAGAATGTTTCAATGGCAGCTCGAGCCCTTATTACCTTATTCCGTGCTGTGAACCACCGATCACTTCTAGCAAAGACCGCGGTAGACCCTCCGACAGTGGAGAGAAGAAAGAGTGAGTTTTTTTTGTAATTTTAAAGGTCGATTGCCCTTTCCCAAGTTGATTGTTTTTATTAAGATCCTTCGCTTTTGTGGAACCTGCAGTTTCCGAATTTGTCACCGATGCGGATACTTTGGAGGAACACCGAGAAGGTAGGGGCGAAATGGAAGTTGATGCTTGTAGTAGTGATAGTAGCTTAGATGTCACAGGTAATGATTGTAATGATTATGAAAGAATTTTGTGCCTCTGTTCTGTTCCTCTAGTCTAAACAGTTCCTAAGTTTATTCAATGTGTTTTACCTGTGTTGTTTTTGTTGTTTGTTTTTGAATGCCAAAAATGTATTTCGTGATTCGCTGTTGCACAATGTTTTGGCTATGTATTAGGTTGGTTCATAATTAATGCACGTTTTTCCTATCTCTTCTTTCAAACGCTAGTTTTCAATCAAAAATTGTTTTTCTTCAAAACAATTTAAATTATCGGAAAGCTCGTTTCTTCTACTTTCAAACTTGCTCTTTCGTTTTCGGAGATCTTTGTTCAGACCGAAGTTCTGTGCCTTCAAAGGTGAGGAACTCAAACTTGAAAATTTTTCCTTTCATTCGACTTGCCCCTAATTCCATAAAAAATGCTCAAATTTGTTTCAAAAAATATGTATTATGATCGCGAAGATTTGTGCTACAAAATGCTTACCAAGGCTAAATTTTTTAGAAATCCTGAGCAGAGAAGCTTTGACTCAAACGTAGCTGAATGCTGGGATTACTCGGAGCTTTATAAAATGCTTATATAAGAAGCAATTACAGAACTTTCACTTGGTTTTGGTAGAGTAGACCAAGGACTACTAATATTAGAAAAACGGCAGAATTTTCTCGTTTTTGAAATAAGAAGAAATTGAAGAAATCTAAAAGATACAGATTTTTGCCTTCATTAAAATGCCGAAGAAAATGGTACTTTTGCTTCCTTGGCAATATTTTTTTCGCAGAATATTTTTTAGAAGCCAAGTTCCACGCTACTGCTGAATAGAACATCGGCTACACAATGAGCAAAGTTTGCTCCAATCTAGTTCTTTTAAGGATAAGTTATGATCTTTCAAACTAGAACTTTCCAGAAAAAATTCTTGGTAAATTTTGGGCCGTAAAATCTTCCTCGTGATGAGTGCAATTATACAAAAGCATAAGTTGTATAGCTAAAAGTTTGCTGTCTATAATAGTTTTTGTTGCGCTCAGAAGGATTGTTTTGGAAAAGAATTATCTTCATTAGAAGTGGAAGTTGAGAAAACGTGCATTAATTATGAACCAACCTAATATATTTCTGTGATTTCAATAAAGCTAGCGATGGTTCTACTTGGAAAAGATGACTGAGAAAATCAAATGCTAGAAATACTATAAAGTAAGTACGAAAGAGTAGCAATAGAAAGCATGCTCCAAAGCTAATTAGCCGCGGTATAAAGCGTCTCAATATCTACCTGCCGCGCGCGATGCCATTGGTACCGGCTTGCGATTTTGCCATTTCCGGCTGGCTACCGTTCCAACAACACCGTCATTCCGGCTGGGCCGGGCGTCAGCCGGACGCCAGCCGGTCAGACATTCACACCGGCCGGCGATCAGCCGGCGGCGGGCCCAGCCGGAATGACGGTGTTGCCTCAGCCGGTTTTCGGTCGTCGGCCGGTAAATGTCTCTAAGTAATGACTGCCAAAGGCAATGTTTACAATCATTTCAGCCAACAATACGAGAGAGTACTATTCTTCTTCCACACTGGCGCACAAAAAACAGTGATTGAAGAGAGTTTAGCCACAAAACTCGGACTACCAAAGATCATCACCGAAACGTGCGTTATGTCCGGCATCGGCGGACACACTGAAAGGTTTGAAAGTCACTCAGTAAAACTCAACATCACTACTACTTTTGGCGCAGACATCATCATGGTGGTCCAGACAAAGCCAGTAATTACAAGCGGTTTCCCTGCTATCAGGCTAACCAAAGAAGACAAAGAATTTCTTCATATCAAAGAACTGTGCATAGCAAATTCAAAGTTTATGGGGAACGTATCATTCCGCGCATTCTCGTTGGATTAGACCGCTATTATGACCTCGCCGTTGCGGATACGACCGCTCTTCGGACACCATCAGGTCTGCATGTTGCAAAAACAGTTTTTGGTCCAACTTTGTATGGACGTGGCACTATTGACAGCTCGCATATGAACGTGTCCATAAGCCACAACTACACTTCCATCAAACAACCTACCGAAGTGGCCATGCTCGAAAGAATGTTCGAGCTACAAGGCTTGAGAATACCTGCCTCTGAGCTGCAAAAAGACGAGAAAGTTTAGAAATACTTTGAGCAGTACGAAAAATCAAGATATCATTTGAAAACAATCTTGTCACTGCTCCGTTTCCGCTAAAAGCCAATATCGTTGGCACATACTATATGCCGCATTCTGGAGTCTGGCGACCTCACAAAAAGGTGCCACTCAGGATAGTGTTTGACGCCTCGTCAAAAATGAGAGGAAAACTATCTCTGAACGATACCATCCATAAAGGTGAATCGTTTATTAACAAGATACAGAGCCTACTAATTACATGTTGTACTAGCAAAATCATACTGTTCTGCGATATCGAGGCAGCCTTTACGCAACTTTATCTGCCAAGTGAACACAAAGACTTGTGCAGATTTCTGTGGCTACGAAATGTGAATCTGCCAGCCACAAGAGGCGGTGTCGTAGTATCGATTTACCCGGCTGCCCTTCGGTATGACCGCTGCACCAAGTATCCTAAATATGTGCATCGCAGCTTATTTGAATGCTACTGACATGGATCTTGCACGCGAAATTGCCGCTTACATCTATGTTGACAACATACTGCTCCAAGCGGATACTCCAGAAGAGGCTTTGCGGAAATACAAAGAATCCAAAGCACTTTTTGCCAAGATTGGGATGAACCTCAGGGAGTTCATTTCAAATTCGAGCATTGTCAATGGACAAATTCCTGAACAAGACACGATTCCGACCGGTGTCTTGAAATATCTTGGTACGGAATACGATATTGTAACCGATCAGTACACGGTCACGACACGTTTTCCAATGAAAACCACTTTAAGCAAACGTGATATTGTTAGCCAACACAACTCCATTTACGATCCATTGGGGTTAGCCGGTCTATTGTTGATAGAGCTGAAAACTATGATGCGAGAAATCCTGACCACTCATTCTGATTGGAATGACCGCCTTTCTCGAGACACATGCGAAAAATGGAATCATCAATGCAGCAAAGTAAGTGATGCTGATTGCGGTACTCCGCACCTTATTAGGCGGCTTGACCTATAGTCAAGCAGCGACTCACCTGTGGATGTTCGCGGATGCAAGTGTAGCTGCGATTGCAGCATGCGCATACATGCAATCGTTGGAATTAAATGAGTTGTCTCAAATCATTGTTGGAAAGATCCAACTGGCACCAAAGAAACGTGTGCAGACATATGTTATATGTTCAAAAAAGTTTCTCAGCGACTTAAACTTGACAACCCATGCTGCCCCGTATTTTACAGCCTCGTGAAGACGCACAAGCTCTCTGCGCGTGACATGAACTCCGTGTCGGCCTCGGTCTATAAGATTCGACCTATCATCAGCTGTGTAAATGGATCAACTGGTAGAGTATCATGGTTCTTGAGTAATTGTCACCCAATTTCTGACAAAATACCGGCCCATTTGACCAACACCAGACGTTTCCTTGATCAATTGCACCATGCTCAGATCCATCAAAGCTGTGCAATAGAGTCATTTGATGTAACGTCACTATACACCGTCTCCAACAGTGACGCATTACAAGCGCTTTCCGAGTTGTTCGATGCACATGATAATACTGTTTCGATGTATGGACTCAGTAAAGCGCGCATAATGACTCTGGTCAAAGAATATCTCAATTGCAATGTCTTCAAATGGTCAGGTACGTACTATTCACAGATGAGAGGATTGGCAATGGGCCAAAGATTAGCACCTACGCTTGCCATCTGCTTCATGAGTAGAATAGAAAGACCGGTGCTCTTACGAAGTCACTTATGTACTGCCGTTACATCGACGATTGTTGCATCATAACGTCAACACAGTCCGAAATGGACGAGTGTTTCCGAATTTTGAATCAACACTCACAGTACATAAGTTTTACCAGAGGAGTTCCGCGAAACGGTTGGCTTCCCTATCTTAACACCCAGCTGCAAACAATGGTACGATACGAGTAAAATGGTTTCGCAAGGAGAGTTTTAAGAATATCATTCTACACGCAAAATCAGCCCACCCGACTGCCGTAAAACGAGCAGTATTGCGGAATATGTACAAAACGGCAACTGAAGTTTGCAGTGGAGAGAGTGAACGACAGGAATCCCTCAAGCTGGCAAATGAGGTAGCAGCCTTTAATGGCTACTTCCCATCAAAGTCTAGACATTCCAAAAGTACGGCAATTATTAAACACAACCAAACTGGCATCAGGATACCACTGTGTTTACCATTCATTTTCGACAAGGTCAAGCACGCGTTCCAAAATTGTATAACACAGGCTCAGCTGGAGCAAGATGTTGTCCTCGTTAACATCCCGCGAAGCAACATTAAGCGACAGTTAGTGCATGACTGTTTATACGACACAGCTTGTGTTACGATGAACTGCGTTATTTGTCCTTACGGAAAAACGGGGGACTGTGCTAAGTTTGGCATTGTTTAAGAAATTGAATGTCTAGATTGCCACGCACGTACATAGGGGAGACTGGTCGACAACTCAGCGTACGTGTGAATGAAGGCCAGTAAAAGGCGGGCAAGCATGGCAAGTCCGCTAGGGAAACATAGAAAAGTAGATCACAACGGTAATGACTACAACATCAGGTGCATTATTCTGGGTTACGAATCGAGAATCGCTGCTCGCAAGGCGCTTGAAGCAGCATACATTCTTTCGCGCGAACCGAAATTAAACGGAAAAAATGAACAACTCTCTATCACCAGTGACTTGATGCCATTTCTATCATACTGTCACTTATAAATACGGCCACTACTCATGCTGACCATTTTGGTCGGACACAGTTACCATCAGTGGCAGTTGAACATCTACAGTCGCGCTATCGGTGGAAGTTACGGTAGGCTACTAGTTTTAGGATCTTAACGCGTTTACCTGTAAGGCATCGAACTAACTAGTCAAGGGGAGAGATTTGACAGCATAGTGTGAAAAACA